AGCCAGGTTAAATGGCTCGTTCAAGGTCATCTGGTCGTGTAGGGGCAGGGCCTGGACAAGAAGCACCACACAGCCCAGTTCCTGGTTAATCTCCAGTGTCTCCTACAGCTTCTCGAGCTTTTCACTAAAGGCCTTCTCACTGACTGATGAATTTTAAAAAAGAATAGGTTCATAGGTGGATCTGCTGTTGGAAGGCCACTTCTATGTTTTTTTGGCTAACGTCAAGTGTGCAGCACTGGGAGATTTATTGCACGGCTCAGTCCTGTCAGAGCAGGAGACACGCTTCAGAAAAAAACCTCTGGGCCTCTGCAGCTCGTAAGGGAGGTTAGGAGTCCAGGGAGACTGTGGGGCAGCCCCTTTCCCTGGATACCTCACCTGCTCTAGGCACTGGGGTCCTATTCCTGACTGACTGACTGGGCCTATTGATTTCCATCAGGGTAGCAGGGTGGATGACCCAGCTGGCCTTCCTCCTGCTCCAGGGCAGGCTGTAAGGATGGGTGGGGTGTTTGGAGAGGGGAGTGGGGTCTGCTCTTCTGTGCCGTCTGCAGGGTGTGGCTCTGTAGCCCAGAGGAGGAGGGACCTGCACAGATCATGTTTTTCCCAGCAGCAATGGTAGGCTGCTACCCCTGGGGGCCAGGAAGCACTTTGCATTTAATTGACTCATGAATTAACATTTGTGTAGCATTTTTGCCCCTTGTGTCATCTCGGGTAATCTTCACAACCTGCCCTTCCACTGTAGGTTGGTGGCATTTACCCCGTTTTATGACTGAAGACACCTGAACCCTAAGGGCTCTAGCTAAGCACCTACCTGTCCTTGTGAAAAGGCGATGGCATCTCCCTGATTCCATTAGGTCATGCGACCAGGAGGTGGCTTGAGCCCAGGTCCCCGGTCCCAACTGCCATGTTCTTCTGCTTGACTTAGGACACTGTTTAGCAGCGACTGAGGGCCCAGGCTTCGTGACCTGACAGCTTATTTCACCTCACAGTCTCCTCATCTGTAGAACGAGAATCCTCACAGAGCCTCCCTCGCAAGACTATTGCGAGGAATGCTGGAGACAGTGCATTTAAGTCATCCGGCACCCGCTGAACACTTAGTAAACAAAGGTGTTGTTGGACTTGGTTGGCAGCAGCCAGCTTTTGCAGGGGATGGGCACAGCCAACCCTGTGAGGCTGTTTTGAAAACCCATGTCAGGGCCTACCCTGGACCTCTTAGATTTGAATTTCTTTGTCTTGGGAAAGGAGCAGTGGGCTTGTTGCATGGGTTTCAGCTCTGATGCCTTTGCTCTGTTGAGAGGCCCTGTTCAGGTGGGGTGCATGGTTCATTATTCTGGGGTCTTGCTGCTCCAAGTGTGCTCTCTGGACCAGTAACCAGGCCTCTCCTGCTCCCCCTCCGCGTACCTTTTGCATCAGAACCTGAATTTTTTTTTTTTTTTTTTTGAGTTGGGGTCTCACTCGGTCACCCAGACTGGAGTGCC